CCTATTACCTGGGGAAGTTGTGGGCCCTCACTGGAGACATTAAAAAAAATGTTGGGACAGTCACCTAAATGGGATGGTATATTAGTGGTGTCCTGGAAGAGCAGGGGCTTGGACCTGATGGCCTTCTGTCCCCTTCTATCTGTACTATTCTATGATTCTATGATTATTAAAGATCCACAACTCTGCCTAGAGAGGGTAGCCTATCCAAACTCAGTAACCTGTAAGAGCATTAATTAGTTTTAATGTATTTTGTATTCAATGTTGTAAGCCGCCCCAAGGCCTTGGCAAGGGGTGGCATAGAAATGTTTTAATAAATAAATAAATAAATTAGAGAAGCAACCAAGAGACCAATGGTATCTTTGAAAAAGTTACCATTCCTGCAGCCGAGATGAAATAAACTGCCCATGGGGTGACAGATGCTTCGTAAAGCTAGGCTTTCTAAGAGTTGCAAGAAAGCCATTGTTGAAACAAAAACTTTTGAAACCCCATTTGGAGTTTGCAAAATGACATGTTGGACATACAAAAACATATGGAAAATGGTCTCTGGTCTGATGAGCCCAAAATTGAATTTTTGGCTTTACTGAACAAAATGCTATGTACAATGCCAGTGATGCTTATTGCCTTGAGGGCCCCATCCCCGCAGGGAGACATGGCAGCAGCTGCATCATGTTTCAGGGACGATTTTCCTGCAGAGTCTGGCCAGGATCAAGGAAAAGATGTTGGATGCAAATACTGGGCAACTCTAGAAGAAAATCTGTTTCGAGTCTGCAAGGGACCAAGGAATGGGGTGGAGATTCACTTTCCAGCAGGATAACGAACCTAAACACATGGCTAGAGGAACATCGGAGTCGTTTACAAACCAAGAACCTGAACGTCTTAGGAATGTCCACTCAAAATACCAACTTCAGTTTGACTGAGAATCTGCAGCAAGACTTGAAAAGGTGCTGTTCACCAACACCTGAGATCAGCAGCAGAAGCCCTCCACCGGGAACCCTCTGTGAAAGATATTAGGAGACAAGAGTACCCAGAGGAGGGTTTTCTCTGCGGTGGCGCCCCGTCTATGGAATGAGCTCCCCAGAGAGGTCTGCCTGGCACCATCATGTGTTTTTTTGGCACCAGGTTAAGACCTTTATTTGATCAACCTTTTAATATTGTATTTTTATCATTATATTTTAACTGCAGTCAGAATGGGTCAATAATTTGTTTGGTGATATTTGTATTTTATCTTTGTAAGCCATCCTGAGGCTTTTGCAAAGAATGGCATATAAATATCCTAAATAAATAAACAGCCTCCATCCATCCTGCCAAAGCACTTGCCCATTTTCCTGACCCTTGAGATAGGTCTGCAAGAGAGATTAGGCACAAGCATACTGAAGAGGAGCCATGCACTGGGAAGAGAAAGGAGGACAGTGTGCTCACCACTATGGGTTAAGGGAGCCCCTCGACTTCCTGAAAAGATGGTGATGAGGTTTAAGGAAAGAAACCATGTCCATAACATTAACGGGCAAAGTGAGGCAGCAAGTCATCCAGAAGATCTAGCTAAGATAATTGATGAAAGTGGCTATGCTAAATAGATTTTCAGTGTAGACAAAATTGCCCTGTATTGAAAGATGATGCTAATGCAAACTAATGCAGCTGGGTGACTAAGTTGAAGCCAATGCTCATTTACTATTCCAAAAATCATAAGGCCCTTAAGAATTATGCTAAATCTAATGCCTGTGTTCTATAAATGGAACAAAGTCTGGATGACAGCATCTGTTTACAACATGGTTTACTGCATATTTTGAGCCCACTGTTGAGACATACTGCTCAGAAAGATTCCTTTCAAAAATTACTGCTCATTGACAATGCACCTGGTCATCTAAGAGCTCTGACAGAGATGCAGAAGGAGATTAATGTTGTTTTCACCCATTCTGCTGTGAAATCAAGAAGTAATTCCAACTTAAGCCTTATTATTTAAGAAATAGATTCCATAAGGCTATAGTTGCCATAGTGATTCCTCTGATGGATCAAGGCAAAGTAATTTGAACATGGAAATTATAACCACTAAAGATGCCTTCAAGAACATTTGTGATTCATGGGAGGTGGTCACAATATCAACATTAACAGGAGTTTGAAAAAGTTGATTCCAACCCTCATTGGCTTTGAGGGGTTCAAGACTTCAGTGGGGGAATAAATGCAGATGCAGTAGAAACAGTAAGAGGACTAAAATTAGAATGGAGTCTGAATATGTGACTGAATTGCTGCAATCTCAGAAAAAATCCTGAATGGATGAGGAGTTGCTTCTTATGGATTAGCAAAGCAAGCAGTTTTTGAGACGGAACCTAATCCTAGTGAAGATGCTGTGAACATTGTTGAAACCACAAAGAAACTAGAATGTTACATAAACATAGTTGATAAAGCAGCAGTGGGGCTTGAGCACTATGACTCCCATTTTGAAAGGAGTTCTACTGTGGGCCCCGAGATCTGTGGGAGAGGCCCTTCTTCGGGAACCCTGCATGAAGGAAATTAGGAGGGTGAGTACTCGGAGGAGGGCTTTCTTTGCGGTGGCGCCCAATCTATGGAATGCGCTCCCCAGAGAGGTCCGCCTGGCACCATCGTTATTTGTTTTTCGGCGCCAGGCCAAGACCTTTTTATTCAAATGTCATTTTAACTGTTAATAGATTTTATTTTATTCTTTGGCCAGGGCGACTTACTTTATACTGTTAATTTAGATTTTAATTGAAGTTATGTTGTGAGCCGCCCAGAGGCTTCGGCGAATGGGGCAGCATAGAAATTTTCTAAATAAATAATAAAATGCTACAGAGAAATCTTCTGTGAAAAAAGTCCTCTGATGCAGTGAACTTGTCTTATTTTAAGAAATTGGCACAGCTGTTCCCAATCTTCAGCAACCACCACCCTGCTCAGTCAACATCAAGGCACTCTCCACCATCAAAAATTATGACTCACTAAAGATGATGGTTAGTTTTTTTTAGCAATAATGTGTTTTAATTAAGGTTCATACATTTTTGAACATCATACATCATGCTGTTGCACACAGTATAGTGTAAACATAACTTTTATTTGCACTGGGAAACAAAAAAGTGAGTGGCTTGCTTATTGTCATATTTGCTTTACTGCAGTGGTCTGGAACCAAACCCACAATATCTTCAAGGCAGGCTTGTACAGAATAGAGCATACTACAAACCAATAGCCAGGTATGCATAATTGTTCTGAAGAGAAGTCTAACTAAGCAAAAGGCATTAATTTCTGAACCAGAAAATTGGTAAATATGTAAAATCAGCAATGCATTGAGTGATAGGATGCATATTTAACCATCACGTCTACTTTGCAACTCTTCCTTAATCCTTGCACTTAGAGATCTGTGTTCCTATTTTTAAATTTGTCCTAGCATTTAAAAAAATTCTCAAAAGCTGGCTTGTGAGCAATCTGAATTTGGTAGATATTTTGAAACTTAAGTTGAAACCCTTGGTTTCCAATTCCAAATGAAGCAAATATCTAAATACATATTATGCTCAATGGCCTTTTCTACTCCTTCAGATACTAGCCTTTTATAATTACATTGTATATAATGTAGATGCAGCAAGTTCATCCCAAGTAACACAGAACCTATTTTCTCCCTATCAGAGTCCCAGTACTTTCAGCTGCTTAAGTTTTTAAGAGTATTTCCATCCTGATCTATACACCTTTCATCTACTACAAGGATATAAAACCAATAAAGGCTTCTGTACCACTGCACCAACTTTTATGCTTTCTCTCAAGTTCTTATTCCCGAATATATTTCCACTTCCTAGTCCATTTTCAGGAGCCCCACAGCACAGCCTTCTGTGTGTGTCTAGGTGGAAATAAATCCCACAGTGCTCAAAGACTCTCAGGTGAGTATGGGATTCTGGATTTAGGCTATGAGGAAGCCCTGAGGTACCTTAAGCCCCGCTCCTTCTGACTGGCATAAATCATTTAGGAAGCCAATTCTAAGTTATGTGAAAGACCCGAAAAGCACTAATCCTGTCCTCCATTGGTTGCCTACAATCCTGAGCTGCAAGGATTACAGCAGCCACACCGAATGCCAATTAAGTGACCCAAGACTACCCTCTGGTCCTGGCACACCTTGCACTTGAAAGATAGGTCTGAAACTTTAAGTTTGCATGCTTGGATTTACTAGTTTGAAGCACACTAACACCCTCTCAAAACATTTTAAAAACTGCTACGTCATAACATAAAATCATAAGAATCCTCCTGCTTCCTCTTAGTAACTAATCCCTTGAGAACCCATCCAAAGGCTTATAAAGGTATTTTCTTCCAGAATAATACACTGACATTTCATGCTTTTCCCCGTCTATCAGCTCCTCTTTTTCAAAATCTGACTTCTAAAAAATTGCCTTCTTCCCCATTCCTTCAACGCGCGCTCACAGAGAAAAATAAATGCGCCCCTACAAGCCCCCAACCCCTCCACTCCGCCCTCGTCCATTGCGCGTAGCGAGCAGCTGCACGCCGTGCGGCCACATTTATGCCATCCAACGCCAGCAAAGTCTCGCGAGAACCGCTAACATTCCGATCCTTACATAGCTCTATAAGGATAGAGGCGCCTTCCCCAGCTTAATGCCTTTCAGGTGCGTTTGCACTGCAATACCCAGAATTCCCGGTCAGTGGCTCCGTTGGATGGGAATTCTGAGAGTTGCGGTTCTCATAACTCTGAAGGCCACCAGGTTGGGGAAGGCTGGCATAGAGTCTGTACCCGCATCGAGTCTCTTCTTCCTTCAGCTTCCTCGCCACCAAGCGGTAGCCTGATAGATTCTCGTGAGGGCAGCGAAATGGTTTCAGCTTTTTTTAAATCTCCCGGCAAGGTGACACAGTCTAATAACGTAAGAGAAAATACTTCCGGTTTCTAAATGAAGACAGCCTTCTAAAAGGGGAGCCATAGAGCTACAGAGTGTAGAGCAGCTCCATTTTCCTGCACACTTTCCCGATCGGCGCAGGGTAGCGATCAAATTGAAAGCGGAAGTGCGCGTAGCGCTGAGGGGGCCCGGCGGCTTTCCTTATGCTTCGTGACATCTCTGCCCGCTTGCCATGGAGCTTCCAGGGCGCGTGCCTCTCGGAGTCTCCAGGATCCTGATGGTAATTCCTGCACGCGGCGGCTTCGCAGTTTTTGCCGCCTGCGAACCGGGAGATGCGTGGTGGAAAGGAAGAGGGGTCCTGTTTGTAGCCTTGCTGAGAGCAGGAGAAGCGGGGCAAGCTGTTTCTTGCCCTGTCCTTGGAGGAATAAACCGAAAGGAGCGAAGCAGAAACTGAGCAGAGGGACTCATCAGAAGGAACGGGGGAGAAGGTTCCTCCCCTTTCCCCTATCCCTCTGGTTAGAAGAATAGCCTTGATGGTTTTCTTCTTTGGATAAAAAACCTTTTTCTGTCCTTTGCCAATATCCTTCTTTCCCAGCTTAGTGCCTTGCACATGCTTTGAACTCCAACTTCCATCAGCCCCAGCCATGACCAGTGGTTAGGAGCATGAGAATTGGAATCGACTGCATCTGGAGGACACCAGACTGGGGAAGACGGCTCTATGCAATGGGCATTTTGCCATCTCTTTTGTCCCTTTAGGAGCTGGCTTTTACTGTGCTTTGGTGACAGAGTTTAGCTTTTCCTGCCAAGGCTATTGTGTTTTTACAGGTTTCTGACAGATAGAAATATAACAGGTCAGGCTTTTCCCAGTTCAGTGATGTAGCCATTGGAAAGACGTGATCGGTCCAACTTGTCCTTCTCCTGTATGTGTTAAAAACAAAATGTTTCTTTCCACCTCTTCAGAGTACTTTTGCCTGAATATGTGTTTATGAGTGCAAAACCAGTGGTGGTCGTTCTTTTGGATTATTTAGTAAATAACTGAAGCTTGTGGTTGGGAATGTGGCACAAGTATAGCTAGTGTGATGTAGCAGCTAAGATTATTTTGCATGAGTTGTATGTACGAGTTTCTATGTATATAGATTTCACATCAGATCCTCATTTGATGAAGTGACTTAGGAGGAAAAACGCACGGGGAAATTTTGAAAAGGCAATATAAAGGTCAGAGAAGTAAAGGTGAGAGATCCAGGGCTGAACCTGCAGGTATGACAGAGTTCTAATAAATGTGATTTCTCTTTTGATTATAGGACACAGACTGGTCTGAACCATGGATCTTAGGGCTTGCATTTTTCCACATAGCTTGCCTGTTTCTCACATACTTTTCATTCCAGCACTACCGCCTGCAAATAGGACACTTTCTTTCTCTCAGTGAGTATTGAACGAAGGGATTTTATGGTATTCAGGCTCTCTGTTAAGTTATGACTCAGGAATAGTGTTGGGGGAGAGGGGCAGTGCCTAATTTAATATGTGAGTTGAGAAAAAATGGCCTTGTACTAAAGCGGGGGGGGGGGGAGGAAGCACACACAGGTGATACGTGGTTGTAAAACTAGCTTTCTCTGGTTTAAAATGTTGGTTCTTTGGACATGCCTGCTGAATCTGGGATTGAACGTGGAACCTTGTGTATGGAAGGCATCAACTCTAGTCCGCTTTTTGATATATATGTAGAAGAGATGCTCTGGCTGTGGGGTTTTTTAATATATAATGAATACAGCCCTATACTCATCTTTTTTTAATGATCTGAAAGTTCTATTTGTCTCCCCTGTAGTGGTTCTCGTATTCTGTGCAGAATATATAAATGAAATGGCTGCTATGAATTGGAGGTAATTACATGAACTTCTTACAATTACGTATTTCTTTAAATGTGTGTAACTAATTTCAGACTGTACCCCAGAACACTCCTCCTGTCCCCACTGGTTGTATGTTGTTATGAAGTTCTATCATATTATTAGCAAAAGCAATGCTCTATAAATGGCATAGAGGAGTTCCAGAAAGTTTAACTGTTAAATGCTTTACAGAGGGATTCTGTGGCTCCTAGACATTGCCAGTGGAGGCACAGGATGCTGGAAACTCCCCCGCAGGTTGGAGAGAGCCCTCTGACCTCAGGAAGGGGAGGCAGAAGTCTTCCCTGCCACTCAGCCAGGGTCAAAGGAGCTGCACTGGTTGCCCTCCAAGGTCTGAAAGGTGTCTGCAAAAAGGGAAGAAAAGGGATGTTTTGGGAAGAGAGGAGGATATGGGCTAGCCTGAGGCTTCTCCAGTGTCTTCCTCTCCTCTGAAGTGCCATTACTAGATGGGCCAAAAAATCCTCTCTAGCAAAAGCAAAACAGACAAGAGGGAAGGGTGAGGAAATGGAGACCTCCTCCAGCACTGCTCCTGTCTTGCACTGGATGATCAGAAGCCCCTCAGGACAGCCATTTCCAGTCCTTGGTCAATAGGGCTGCAGCCTTGAAGCCCCACTGATCACAATGGGGAGTTCAATATATGCCTGGCCCTCTGAAATCAGTGGGATGTCAAAGTGCATAACTTTTGGTAGATTCAGCCCCTCATTTTATCAGCTATAAATAAATAAATACCTCTTTAAACTTCCCTATTTGGGATAAAAGCCTTTGACACAATAAAATATTTGATCTGTGCTTTAAAAATATATTAAAGATATTAAGCTTATTTTTGATTTGATTTATACTGCATCTTTCTAGCAAGTAAATACATTCATGTTAGCTTAGATACCAATAGATAAAAGCTTAAAACAATAATGCAAATACATTAAAGCATAAATAAAACATAGCAATAATAGAATAAAGACAGAACCCAGATTAAAAAGAGGTTTGTGGCTTAAGGAGAAGAGTAGGGGGAAAAGGGAAGTCTTCTCCTCCAATTATATATGATTTGATGCCAGTGCAGCAGTTGGTATAATTGGATTTCCTAATGGGAAATGCCAACACTGAACAGCAGGAACATTGCAAACATGGTTCCAGGTGCACATTAATTCAAGAGTGATTGCAGCTCTCATGGCTTAGGTGAGCCTGTGCAAGGTGTGAGTGGAAAGACGCAGGTGTTGATTTATTCACTTGGGGAAGGGGAGAGTTGGGTTTCAGTATCTTAAATTAAGTACTGGAGTCTTAAGCAGAACTATTTCTTATGGCATTAAATTATTGTTGGAATTCATATGGATGCATCTGCAAAAGATGCTTGTAGTTGGAATAGATATGGAAGTGTTTGCCTTTAAAAGGTGCTCCTATTCAGAATGCAGCCAGTGCCATTTTAAATGAGGAAAATGTATTCAATTTCCGAGAGAGAGAGAGAGAGAGAGAGAGAGAGAGAGAGAAGGCAAGTTCACGCATTGGCCCTTTTATACTGACATACCACATGGGTGGTTACATGAACACCAGCAGACAAAGGACTCCATGTGCATCCATTTGCAGACAATTCTAGAACAGGTATTGACTTCAGGGACAATGGATTGTACCCACACTGCTCAGTCCAGTGGTCTATTTTTCATTGATCCAGAATGGCCTTCCCTTCACTTTTAACAAGCTATCATCATCACCACCACCACCACCACTACTACATTGCATTTATTTCCCACCTTTTTTCCTCTGGTGAGGATCCCATGGCAGCTTACATACCACCATTTTCTCAAACAACAACAACACGGTGAGGTAGGCTGAGGAGAGAGTGAGAAATAGTCACCTAGCGAGCTCCCAGACCAAGTGGGGACTAGAACTTGGATCTGCTGGGTGTCTAGTTCAAGACTCTGTTTTGCTTTATTTTATTTGTTGTTTTATTGTTAGATGTTCCAAGACATCGGTTGTGGATGGGTTAGAAAAGCAATAAATAAATAACCAACCACCGTGCTACATGGACTCTCTTTATAGTCCTCCGTTTGTGCACACACAGGGATCTGCTTCCTTTGTGGAAAGTAACTGGAATCTTTGTGTACAGTGGAGATTCATACATCTCTGGATCAAGAAGAAAATTGAGTCTGTTCCCTTATTAAATATAATTCATAATCTATAAATACCTTAGAGCATACTCAGGACAGGGAAAATATAAGTGTTGGAATGCCAGTCAATTGACTCACCTGTGAAATATTCCATGAAGCCAAGAATCCCAGTCTTAAGAATAATTGCTTACCTATTTTTATTTCATCATGCTGTTGGCTAAGACAGGAGTGAGGGGTCTCTGCCCTCTAGCACAGGAGCAGTCAGGAGCGACCCTCGCAACACAGCATTCCTCGTTACATTTTCTTTCAGCAAAATTGCAAATTTAATGTTTCACAGTAACTTTTTGTTTTTGTAGATTAACATATGTGTTGATTAAAACCTCTGTTATGTTAACAGTAAAATTGCAAAGCAATCCTATGACTGCTAGCCATAGGATTGCTCAAATCCTCGGGTACAAGGTCAAAAACCACTCTGCCCATGCTGGGGATCAACGCTCCAATTCCTCCTTCACCCTGTGCAGCTGGTGTGGGAAAGGCTGCCAGCTGCATCTCTTAACCTTGGAGAAGAACATTAGGGGATTTCCTGGGGGCAGTGGGGATAAGAGACCATTACCTCCATGCACCTTCTGCCCTGCCTAGGATGCCTGTAATCCTAGAAGTTTGGAGGGTTATGGACGTGCCCATTTGACTACGCCCTTTATGAGTATTTGATTTACCAGTTGACCAGACGGTTTATGGACAATCAACTGCTCAGCTGTAGTGAAAGCAAACTAATGGAATCTCTGCAGGTTACACTAAAGCATCCACATCAAATAGCTTACATGTAGCACAGTGTAAGTCTTACGGATAGCACATCCTATGCATGCCTACTCAGAAGAGCCTATTGAATTCAGTGGGACTTAGTCTCAGGTAAACCTACAGGATTGCAGCCTAATCTATTTTCTTCTTCCTTGCAGGTTGTTCTCAAAACACCAGTACTTTGATTCGAAAGGAATGTTTATTTCCTTGGTGTTCTCAGCGCCATTGCTACTCAATGCCATCATCATTGTGGTAAGCACTAATCCTTCATCTCACACATGTGTGCATTTAACAGATGAGTAAATCAGACATGCAGCAAGCATTTGGCAATCCGGTGTCGTGCTGTCTAGCCAGTCATGTCCTTTCCAGGATTTTCTCTTCCGTTCCTCCTCCTCCTAATTTTCTGCCTGCCCCCACATAAAGTTATTCCAGTGCCCACTAAGCGTGCTCTGTGCTTTTCGGGCTGTTTTGCAGGGCTGGGATAACCCTTTGTTGACCTTTTCCTAAAGCGTTTTTGTACAAATGCAAAATCTGGGGTTTCCAAAACCTCCCAATACCTCTCAGTTTTGGTGAATAGGATAACTCTTATTCCTATAAGGGTAGCCATTCTGGTTAGGAGAAATTGTTATTATATTACATTTATATCCTGCCTTTTTCTTCTTGCAAGGCCCCAAGGCAGTTTACATAGTTCTTCTCCAATGTATCCTCACAACAGCCACCCTGTGAGGTAGGTTAGGCTGAGAGCTTGTGAGTGGCCCAAAGTCACCCGGTGAGCTTTATGGCCAAGTGGGGACTAGAATCTGGATCACCCAAGGCCCGGCCCATTCTCTAACCACTACGCCACCCCGGAATGATATTTCAGTTACCAATATTTCATTTGTTTTATTTTCCAGATTGCTTGGGTCTATAAAACAGTGAATGTGATGACAGAACTAAAAACCATGCAGCAAAAAAGGAAAGCAAGAAGAGAAAATAAGAAAAGCGAATAAAGAATTCTGTAACTGTGTTTATTTGGGAGATGCTTACTGTCAGTCTTAACATTGTGATATTGGAAGAGTTGAATGTTTTATGGCCTTAAAATATTTCTCTTCCACCCAAATAGAAGTCTTCTCTTCTATTCCAAATTCAGCCTTCTGAAAGAAAAGTCTGTTCTATCAAGTGAGCCAGTAATAAAGCATTTTATATGATAAATGTAATGTTATGCTATGTATGCAATCATGGTACTTTTATACACAAGGGAATCCTTTGTGCAGCAACAATCAGATACAAAAAGCATTGTTATTAAAATTAGCCATTCCATTTCCTTCCAGTTGAAAATGACAATATTCTTGGTTGCCAATTCATAAAAATGCTGATAGTTAATGGAGGTTGTTTTTTAGTGCCAACTATTATACCAGTGTCACCTGTAACCTGGACGTCTGTGCAGTCATTTGCTGTGCATAACAGCATAGCCAGTGCTCAAAAGCATTTCTGTTTGACACTAAGTTCCTTGTACTCAATGAGCTTCAATTTTAAGCATTTGTATATAACCGAGATGTAAACTAATAATTGTATATTACTGTACATACCATTACACAGACATTGTTGGGTTTCGTATTAAACATTTCTTTAGGTGCACACTGTGATTATTTAAAGTTTCTTGAGACAATTATAAACATATATTTATGGTGTAATCTTGTACTCACTTACCTGGGAGTAAACCCCTTGAACTCAATGAAGTATCCATAGGATTGTGTTGTAAAACTGTATGCTTTGAGCCTTCCAGGGGAAAATACATAGAATTGTGTGGTCTGACACAGGCTCAGAGTTCTATCCAATGTAACTCCAACAGAAATACAAGAGATGGCATTTTTCTGCTGCTGTTGTATCTTCCACTAACAGTTCCACAAGCAGCACTTAGTATCATTAAGTCATAATCAAACTGTGAATGTGGTTATGCAACAGCTTGCAGAAAGAAAATAAATGTATTTGATTTGACATTTGCTCAAGGATGAAAATGTGAGTTTCTGCAAGTAGTAGAAACCCTGTACTAGTGGAATTGCACCATTAAATATGGCAGCCAGATTCCACCCTAAAACATCATGAAGGGTAGGATAAAAAAGCTTTAAATAAATAATCCAGAGATTAATAATTATTTCCAGTCCTGGTTTGGACTAAATGGCAAACAGATTTGCCTTAAACCAGAAAAAGACCTATGCTTTATTTAGTTGAAAGATTTTTACTTTGTTCTTCAGCCCAAAAATGTGTACAGAGCACCTTACAAAGGAAGACAGCAACTGTCGTCAGGTTTATAATCTGAAAGAAAAGAAGGAATGATGCGGAAGGGGAAAGAAAGCAAATTCGGGCACTCCTAATTTAAAAGAACTATTGTAACAACCAGCTGGAACAGAAAACAGTTCAAGGAGTGAAGGAGCCAAAGGCTGCAAATCTCCCAGCTGAGATGTTGGAGTAGCTCTGTTTTCTTCTTCCCTTTTGCTGTAGTTTGATGTAGTGGCTGCTGCTCCCTGACCTTTTGATGGAAGAACCTGCTGGAGCTGGCTCCTCTACAGAAGTGGGGCAGGCCTGCCTCCCATCACAACAGCCTGATGCCGGGCTTGGCCTTTCACCCGAGTCATTTCAATTGTGGGAAGCAGGAATGTTCGGACACTAAAAATCAAGATTTAGAAGAGCAGAGGCTGACGGCAACAATGCTTGGAAAGCTTCTAAAAATACTTAAAAGTAGCTTCAAAGAGATGTAGTGGCAAGTTAGTACTCCAGCTGTTTTTAGTATGTATCTCTGTGTCCTTTGTGAGATAAGTTTTGTGTCTCCTTTCCCATTCTGATCACCAGTGTTCTCCTTTCCAGACCCTCTGAAAAGTGCAGTTAGGGTTACAATTCTTTTAAGTCGTTAGCCCCCAAATGGTCTCCTTTTTTTCTTTTTTCTTTTCCTTCTCTCCTTTATTTTTTGGACATTTGTGTCCAAGTATGCTCTTACAGTTGCTTGGTCAGTTTCTTTGCTTAAATGACAAAGGGGGCAGTGAAGTGGAGCAGGTAGCAGACAAGGAAACTGACAAGACATGACTCCATGTAGACTAGTTACAGGGGACTGACCGAGTTGTCAGCTGAAAAATCACCTATAAAAGGTTGGGCTGGAAAGTAGCAAAAGAATTGCACCAAAAGTGAAGAACAACATCTCCTTCTTCAACAGTGTAATCCTCTTGGGTTTAAGTGTTAAACTGACAGTTCTCACAGCCCTTCAAATTTTCAGTACTTCCCTACATCTCTAGCCACTCCAGAAAGAGGAGATATTAACTTCTCTACCTGTTCATATCTCATTTTCAGAGCAGCTATTACAAGTGTGCAAATTTCCTCTCCATTAACTTCCCAACCCTTAAATCGACACATTTTTACGTACCAGCTATCACATTTATGTATCTTTCTCTTGTGCTCTCCCTCTTGCTCCCTCTTGTGAGCTCGCTCGCTCTCTCTCTCTCTCTCTCTCTCTCTCTCTCTCTCTCTCTGTGTGTGTGTGTGTGTGTGTTAGAGCCACCAGGGAAGCACAGTAACTTAGTTTCTCAGGAAAGGGTGGAAAACAGAGGTCACCTTCCTCCTAAAAAAAAATTCACCATGAAGGAGATGGCCACCCATTTTGACAAGTGAAGGTCCCTTGCTGCTTTGGTTCTTTTTGACAACTCACCTTTTGACAGCTGTCAAAACCAAAGCCAAAAATAAAGCTCTTAGGAACCTCTCTGGGTCTATGTCCCTGGGAGGAGTCTGTTGTACCTCAACAGCAGCCAGCAATACCCCATGGCTCAGGCGAGACAGGCCGTTTTGAAACTGCATCAGTGTGCACTTGCACAAGTCTTACTAAAAGCCAGTTTTTTAAAAAATTGAAGTTTGCACATACTTGGGGCTCATTAAAAAACACACACAAACAGAAATGGGATGACAAACCACTGACAGCCCTTAAAATGGGGCACTTGGGCTTTCTGAATGGTCTGTCATTCACTCTCAAATTGGAGATTGCAAAAAGCAAAAATGGGTAAAAAAAAAAGAGAAAGCACAGCAAGGACAAAAAGGCTTACGATCATGGCAGGAAGGGCAGACAAGAAGGGGTGCCACAGGGTCCTCTGGAATTCCCACAGAAGGACTGAGGGGGAAGAAGGGCTAGACAATCCGTGCCGAAGCTGCTCATCAGTTAGACACACCATGGGTTGTTTCACAAACACACCCTGTGCAGCACATGCACAGGATGGTCTGTTGTGACATGCAAACTGGCCCAAGGGCTGGTCATGTTGCCAGGCTTTTCCAGGGTGGCTTAAGCAAGACTTGTTCCCAGGGGCTGCAGAGCTGGGGGAAGCCTAATGTGCCACTGCCCTTTCTCTCCTGCCTTGGTGCCCTCCGCCCTGCCCCCCCACTCCTCCCATCCGGGGAATTATTTGGCAATGCCTGGCATTTCCCCCCTGTTAGCCTCGCAGAGGTCTTCCTAGCAGAGCAGGGTGTTTTTATGGGATTGACTTACTTCTGTGTCAGCATGCATGGCCCTAATTGAGGACCGTAGCAAGTTCAGCGAGGAATTTAAGCTTTGTGATTTTCACATTGAAATTTCCTCCCCTCTAGAAAACCGCTTGGGGAATGTCTTCCCAGGCTGCAAAATGCAGCCATGGAGCCTTTAAAAAAAGAATTGAAGGGCAGCCAAAAGCTTTTAAAATCACAGGCTTGGGGGTCAGAGGGAGACTTCTACTCATCTTCCTCAGAAAACTCTGTGGGTGGTGGAGAAGCAGAAGAATGAGAGAAGTGAACAAAGTCACTTCGCTGGCAGGCAACACAGAAGACTTTTTTTTGGTGTGTTTAAAAATGTACAAGCTTATTTCTTGATATTTTAAAAATTGTTTTGATTTCTGTACTACCCAAATGGCAGGAGTTCTCTGGGCAGTTTACAGCATTCATAAAATACAGAGCTGTTAAATGTCTTGGCACAGTAACGTAGTCTGAACCTGGCACTAGAAAGACAGTAGAATTGGGGTCAGGAGATGATTCAATGCTCAGCAGGCTGCCACAAGGTCCGCTTCCTTGTGGCCACCGAATGCGCCTTCCCCAGAGGCGGCACTAGGAGCACGGCCGCAGGTGCTTAGTGCAATGTTTGGGTAGCTTGCTGCTGGGAGACAAGTTCCATCAGGTATCTGGGCCCTGAACTGTTTCGGTCTCTATAGGTTAAGAGCAGCGCCTTGAATTGAGCTCAGAAGCATATTAGGACAGCCGGCTGAAGCAAGCCAGAACTGGTATTTCATGTTCACACCTTCTGGTCCTGATTATGAGCTGGGCTTCTGCACCTTGCACAAGTGGTAGCTTCTCCACAGGCTTCAAGAGCAGCCCCACATAATGCACATTGCAGAAGTCTAGCTTTTGTTTCTCACAGAAGTCTTTGGAGGTAGCAGGGGGTAGGGGAGGGAGAAAGAGAAGGAGCAGCAAGGTTTTGCTTTGGAGCCGTCGCAAGCGAAACAAGACAGAGTGTGCCAATAGCACGCCGGCTTCTGTTGCAGTGAAGCAATGAGGACTCCCGAGAAACCTCTGGGGAACTGATCATCTCTTGGGAGTAACGCGGGTTAGTGGGCAGTCGACACACCATGGCGTAGGATCCACACGGCATATTGCAATGTGAAAGCTGGCCCAGTGTAAAAATGAAAGGTGACGTGACCTTCAGTTCCCACTAGACTTTCAGTTATCTAGTGAGGTCACTTCCAAGTCTACTTTATCACCTGAAAATTGTGGGGATTGTAACCAATCCCGTACCTCCTTGCCAGTTTTCTGTGAAGTTAGGATAAAACTGTAGAAGAATGAAATCCAAGGGGTGCCAGTAGTATGCTGATGAAACTCTCAGCCTTTGTTCAGACAATGTAATGTTTCATATCAAACTTAAGGTTAACAATTGTAAGAAATTATTTATTATTTATTTATTTATTAAAACATTTTTATGCCGCCCCATTCGCCGAAGCCTCGGGGCGGCTTACAACATATTATATCAATTATTTAATATATCAATTATTTTCTTTAACTGATTAATTGATTTCTTTAATTAATTTCTTTGAACACCCTCACTGAGGCCCCATCGGTGAGGGTGTTCAAAGATAGGCTAGACATGCACCTGGTGGGCATCTCATAAGTGGAGCTGGCTGGAGCCGGGGGTCAGACTAGAGGGCCTGGGAGACCCCTTCTGATTCGCTCTATTTCTATGTTTCTACCAATGTGGCTTATAATAAAGTTAATGTGATTGAAATTATCCATTCTAGTCCTCAGAAAATCCTATTTTTAAGCAGCTGGCTTTAGCTGAACCAATTACACTTGAGAATATTTGGAAATTGATAGCAAAATGTATAGTTTAACTTCTTTTTGTTGCACACACATTTTTTAAACAGGAAATATAATGAGGCAGACATTTCCCAATGTTTAAGAAAGGTGCACTAACCTTTTAAAAAGATGAATCTGAAGGTTTGCTATTATGTTTATAACAGGGGTAGATTTATGAAGTGGTAAAATGATTTATGAAGTGGTAAGACAAACCAAGTTTGAGAGTCTAGTGCTGACAAACTTAGATTAATTGCATCATAAACTTGCAGACAAATACCTGGCTTATTGTT